CGGGGCTAAGGCAGAGAGTCCCCGTGGAGGAAGAACAGCACAGGCACAGGCGTACAGGTCACAGTCCACACCAGCCACTACTTGCGCATGTGTTAGTTGAAGACACCAGCATGTATGGATTTGTGGTTCTCAACCTGCCATCAACAGTAGTCCCTTCCAGACTGGGTCAGTCACGGCAAAGACAGGTGATTAACTAAGTTAGCCCAGGAGTTGTTAAACTGGGATGGGACATGGAAATGAGAGATAAAAAAGTTAAATGAATTAGGTTTATTAAGCTTGGAGATGGACCACTCTATAAGGGAAACGCAAAGACAACTAGGAATAGATTAGATTTCAGCACATGAAAACAAAATTAAATGTGACAAGGGTTTCCCTTGGCTTGAAGGCTGATCAACAAGCAGAAATTTCCCAGGATGGTTTTGTATACCCTAAGCCTCCATAACCTGAAAGCAGCTGCCCCGCCCCAACATTGTTGGAAGACTACTTCAAATGGCTTATTGAGTCCATAATCCAAAATTAAGCAGCAGCAGGCCAATTTACTGTCACAATGCCTCAAGCCATAGCTAAAGAGAAGTCTGGCCTGGGGTGGTGGCACGCCTTTAATCCCAGCACTTGGGAGGCAGAGGCAGACGACTTCTGTGAGTTCGAGGACTGCCAGGTCGGCTACACAGAGAAACACTGTCTAGAATAGAGAGGAAGAGGTCCAAATGTATAAGCCAGGACCTTTCCAGAAGGTGGGGCCCTGAACAGTGATACACCCACACTAACATAGGCAGTGGGTTTCCTTCTCCCATTTGGAAGCAAGCTCTTAACGAAGTGCCTACTCCAGGTACACAGTGACACTGAGGTTGGAGCACATGAAACCCACCTAAGTGTGACCCCCTTCAAACATTTTTCTTTACGTAACTCAGGACAGGACAGAAAAAACCCACACCGTTTTTCTTTATAATGTTGGCGATAGCTAATAAGCACACAGCCAGTTACGTAAGTATTTAATTAGTCCTTTAGAAAACTTCCCGATTAGTAAAAGTAGGCTTATTTTAACAGCCTTAAACATTGGTCACTGTTTAAACAAGACACCCTAAAACAAACAAACAAAAGCAATCACATAATAGTTCATAGTCATTTACAAGAGGATGATACACACGTAGACACAGAGGTAGAGATTCACTTTTACAATGTTTCACTAATACACATATACCAAATTCAAGGCACAAAATAGTTTGCTTTACAAAAAAATACTGTAAAAATGTCATTTGCTGTTCTACAATGTGAATAGACCTTTCAAAGGAACCTTTACAGCCTTCCACAGTACTCCATAAGAGATCTGCTCCCCACACTAACCAGAGTTGGCACAAACATGGGGACTTTTTAATGCAGAAATTCCCATTTTCTGAAACTGTCCTTGTAAAGCTGCTGTGTTCTGTAGACAAGGTCCCCTCCCCCAAACGTGACTCCACAGCTCCCTGAGGAAAGGGCCCTTTATGCAGAGAAATTCACAGGTAGAAAATGGACAATCGTTTCAATTAACCAGGTCTCTAAACAGTCAATTTAGTATTTCAGAGATCGAATTTAAAACTCACCTAATATTTTAGTTATCGTAAGTGTGAGAGAGAGACCCTCTGGCCTTTGCTGCGACGTTCAGACTGCACTGATCTCAAACTGACATCAAAAATTCCTCTTAGCAAGAGCTAAACCCACAGACACCATGAGCAAGTCACCCACACTTGCATGAGTAGAACCCAGAATGCACAACAAAACGTGGCACTGCCAGTCCTTGAACGCGCAAGGGTGCCACCTGGCCAGACTTTCACAATGATGAATGAAGGAATGAGTGGATTCTGTGGGAATTCAGAAGAACCATACACATGAAACACACTGTAGTCATCATTTCTAGACTTCCTTGTTCATTAAAAAAATAATGATGTCACATAGTGCTTGTCTAAATACTGGACTCATTTTTAGGGCCCTGTCTAAAAAAGGCCCCATTGGCAAAAACCCAAGCTCACATTTTTCAAGCACTCTAGTCAGTTAATTTACATTTTATTATTTTTTAAAAAGTTGATTAGAAAAAAAAAAGTTGACACGGGGTTAGAATCCAGAGACTGTCAGCACTGCTGATGTGCACAGACCGGATCGTCCTGACCGAAATGGCACTCCGTACAAAGCAGTCTTAGATTCCGTTTTTTGCTTCATTATTGTTTGTGGCTTGTTTCCTTTGCGCAATGAAGGGGTACATACACTTGTCAGCCCCTAGAAATCGATACATGCACACGACCGCCTCGAAAGGAAGGATGCTGCAAAGGAGAGGCACAGTTAGCAAATGGGGGACCATGGTCTCCTCAGGGCGGGGGGAAGCGGGACAGGGGTCCCCCAGTTACCTCTTCATGAAGGTCACGATGTACATGAGGCGTGGGGTGCAGATCATGGGCTGGTCGGTGAGGATGGCCCTCATAGCCTGCTTCACACAGTAGTCGGGCTTCAGAGGGGGCAGGAAGGGCTCAATTTCTTTTCTGGAATTTATATTCAAAAATGAAATTCAGGATTAATACAACATAGAAGACTGAAAACAATACATCAAAAATACTGCAATGTTAACTGAGGAACAATTTTCAGAACGTTTTGTTTCCTTCGTGGTATTTTTGTTTGCCTCACATTTTCCACCATAAATACACTTCATTTGTATCATCTAGTGAATAAATTAGGGGGAAAGTAAGCAGAATGAGTTGGCTTTTTGGTAAAATGAGATTAGGTTATTGAGATGCCTTATAAGCTAGCTGTATCTCAAATCATTCTGATGCTTTTCTTTGAATAGAGAAGGGAGTTAATCATTATAAACATTAGACTAACATGTGGTACAGCTTTCTCCATTAGGTGTGGCTAAAGCGGTGTAAGACACTAGCAGCCTTCCTGGCCCCAATGCCGGCAAAGGGCTGCCAAGCTATGGTGAAGGTGAGGTGATTTAAGGAAGGCTCTGCCTTCCTGGTGATTTATTAAATCACATGTTAAGTACACAGGACGCTACCCCTTCTTTAGTACTCATTGCCTCACACAGCTTGGGACCTCTGCACCTGCCGCCATGCTAACGGAAGACAGGATCCTCAGCAGCAGGTCCTGCATACCGCAGGCTCCTGGGCACAACACAGCTCTATGCAAAGAATAACAGGCAGATCTAGGATTCAATTTCTTGTCTCTCTCTCATTTTCCTTTTTGAGTTGGGAACCAAAACCAGGCCTTGAACATGTTAAGCACATGCGCCAACACTGAGCCCCATCTCAGGCCCTAGAGCTGACTTCTCAGTCTAGACTTCATGCCAGCTGGGGCCGGAAAAGCCCAGACCACTCTCCATCACTTGTCTGGTTCACTGAGTCTAAAGTCCCCAGCAAACAGGGGACTTGACTATTGTCCCTTCACCCTTCAAAGATCTCCATGCCAGCAAGCATCCCTGCTGATTCACAGGTATTTTCTCTGCTGGGAGCCTTGGTAGGTAAAACCCAATGTTTAGAAATTTATGTTCCCATATGCCCCTTCCCAAGTGTGAGGGGATCCATTTCATTGTTAGTAACTGTAAACGATTTCATCTTATTGGGCTGAGTCTAGCTGTATATATTTGTTAGGGGGAAAAAAGCTTTCAAGTCTGTAGTGTGACACTCGGTCTGGGTGTGACCGTCACTCTGTCTATGACACTGATATTGTTTCCTATCCAGGACAAAGCCACATGAAGGACTTTCCTCCTGCAGCCATCACCCGCCAAGACTAATAAATAGAAGAGGAACAAATCGTAAGGATACAGCTCCTAAGAAAAGCCCTAGTGTTTGTATGTCCTCCTGGAATGGAGAAAAGCCCGTTCCTATCTGACACTCGGGATTAATCAACGTGGCATCAAACCCTCATTTGTCAATCTTATACATGCAAGTTAGAGCCTTAACCAGAGAACTAAAGTTAGTTTCCCTTCCTTCTCTGTAGCTAAGTCTCACAATGAGGCCCTGGACAGTTTCTGACTTATGGCAATTCTCCTGGCCCTGCCTCTCGAGAAGCGCTAACGGATCACCGGCGTGTGTCAGGGCACTCGGCTGGTGCTGACCGTCTACTGACAGTGAAAGTGCAAGCCCAGCTAATGAGAGATAACCCCACACATGTCCAACATTACTCTGCTGTATTAGCAAGAAGACAGTTCCCACTGACCTGATTCGGCAGCCTCTGAACATGCCCGTGTCTACAAGGTAAGGGCAGACCAAAGTTGTTTTAATTCCATCCTTTTCAGCAGCCTTTAGTTCATGGCTCAGAGATTCGTGAAAACCCACAACTCCAAATTTACTGGCACAGTAATCCTGAGTAAGAGGAGAGAGAACAGAAAGCTAAGTCTGTGCACAGGCTCCCAACCGATCTGCAGCTTCCTGGAGCTGTCCGGTTAGATGTTTACTATGAAGGTTACAGGTAACAAAGCTGTCTTCAAGGACATACATCTGACGTGTTCAGAGCAGAAACAGCATCTTCCAGGCAACAACAAAACAGAAGAACGCTTTTTGCCACATCAACCAAGTATCATGTTACTTTGGGGAAGTCACTGCAAAGGGTTCTATGAAAGCTAAAAGGCTGGAGTGAAAAAATGCAGGGAGCTTCCCTTTGAAGTGCCTGGAAACCTTACAAATGGCCTCTTGTTTAGTGAAGGAGACTGAAAAACCTATTTGTTACCAGGAGAACAAAGATAAGTTAACTTGGGCTATAAGCTATTAGGATCTGAAGTTAAATAGCAAGAGCCACATCTTCTGAACTTCAAACACAACTTGAGAACATACGATATAGAAATATTTGCGTATCTGCAAGAAGCGGAGTTTCCAATTTTCCAGGCAGCTGTAGCCTGGTCTTACAGAACAATGTATGCAGATGTTTTATAATCTCAGCCCAGCTGAGAACGGGTTAAGTCAAGTTTTACATACTCATACAGCATCTGCCCCTGGCCATGGCAGTTCACCTTTGACCTCACTTATCTGTTCTCCCCATACTGCCACGTCGCTTCGTGGGTCCATTCTCGACCCTGTTCCTTCTACATCCAGCAAGGCTGTTAAGAAAAATGGGCTCTGTCCCTGCCCTGTCTTCTGGGCTGTGACACCTTGGTAAATTGGTATTGGTAATTTTACAGCCCAGGAGAACCCCTCCTCCGCAGTTGGCTGACTAGGTGTGGTAGCAGGTCTCTTGTGATGTGTTCACTGCTAGACGAACTGTGTGAATGAAGGAAATGCTTTAGAGCTGACAAACCTCCACTCCAGCAGTGCTGAACAATCCCAGGGAGCTCGCGACCGTCACAATGTGGCCATGATTAATCTCTAGCATCGTTGGAAGAAAGGCCTTAGTGGTCTGAAAGAAGCAAGATGCAAGCTTTAGAATTGACATGTCATATCCCCTCTGAAGCCCAGGTCACAGAACAATCTCGGAGCTGTAAAAACAACATCTCCCAGTTCATCTGAAAACATCTTCCATCTATCAAAGAGAGACCTTTTTTCTTAAGTGTCTGGCTAAGTTAGCACCATAGCATTGCCCTGCTAGGCCAGTTGTAAGCCGTGACCAACAAAGCTGTAACCCAAGAGCTTTGGGGGCTAATATCCAGAGATGAAAAGAAAGTCATTAGGAGAAGGTTCTTTATCACCTTTCAAGTGATAGAGATCTGCTAATCTGAACCACCCCTGGGTCACAGGCCTTCTCCTGCCCATGCCCTGTGGTTCAGCTGTGTTCTGGTCTAGGAGCAGCTGCCAGCCTGCCCACCAGCAGGTGCCTCATGACAAGGTTTCCAAGGTGACAGATCCATGAATGAGGAGCCATCCAAGCACTCTGGGACAGGACCTAAGGTTTACACTCTTAAGTAGACTAGCAGGGGGTAAGGTACTTTAGAACATAAACACTGACAAAGCTCAGAGCCATTCTAGTGAAAAATAGTGTCATGGTGTGAACACCGCACTGCTGGGAACCTGTAGGAACCAAAAGGACCACAGTCCACTGTGGAGCACATGCAGGGTCTCCCCACAAAGGCAGAAGTCCATCCACTCTGGGCAGCAGATGATAGAGCAGGCCCACAATGATGGAGGGGGGTCATCTGTCTATGTGGTACTTTCATTGGTTAATAAAGAAACTGCCTTGGCCTTTGATAGGACAGAAAATTAGGTAGGTGGAGTAGACAGAACACAATGCTGGGAGGAAGAAGGGAAGTGAGGCAGTAGCCATGACTCTTCTCTCTGAGACAGATGCAGGTTAAGATCCTTCCAGGTAAGCCACCACCGCATGGTGCTACATAGATTACTAAATATGGGTTAAAGCAAGATGTGAGAATTAGCCAATAAGAGGCTGAAACTAATGGGCCAGACAGTGTTTAAAAGAATATAGTTTCCGTGTAATTATTTCGGGGGTAAGCTAGCCGGGATCCAGGCGGGAATACAGCCCACTCCTTCCTTTTACACCACAACAAGGTAGCAAAATCAGACGTGACATGGGCTTCTTATTAAACTCCTGACTCCAAGACACAGGCAGTATTTAAACAAAAAGACCCCTTGAATTACTTAAGATGATCTATAAACCATCCCACCAGGCTCCCAACAGTTTTATAACCTGCTTCTTAAAAGAAAGCAGTGAAGAGCAATCTGTCTACTGTTGAGTTATGGTCTACTTCCAGCACCGGTCCCCATGATTTATGAACTTACAAGACAAAACACTACACAGCCTCCTCAGAGAAGAGCTGCGTTCCATTTCAGACACTTTCCTGCTAAGGTATCAGAGTCTGCGCACACATTTCTAGTGCTTGGATAACTCATGTGCACAAGATCAAAAACAGTGGTTCCATTAATTCTGAAGCTTTCCACACTCCAATTCATGGAGCAGTTGCCAGATGAATCTTCAAGTGACTCAAGGTCTTGCCCAGACTGTTTCCCGGATCATCACATAGCACCCATCCCCCAAACCACACCCCGTTTGTTGGGGTCTCCTTTGGAGCCCATGCCAAGCTCACTCTCATCTGCCCTCATTCCTGTCCTACATAAGCCAAAGTGTAATACCCATTACTCATTTACCTAGTTTTTAAATGATTTTCAAATGCTCAAGATCACTGGATTCTTCAATAATAACTTTACTAAGTTTTAAAATTCCTGTAATTGGGGGCTGGAAAGATGGCTCAGTGGTTAAGAGCACTGACTGCTTTTCCAAAGGACCCAGGTTCAATTCCCAGCACCCACATGGCAGCTCACAACTGTCTGAAGATCCAGTTATAGGGGAACTGACACCTTCATACCAATGCACATAAAATAAAGTTAAATAAACCGTAAAAATATTTTTTAAAAAATTCCTGTAATTCTTTATTTATTTTGGTCTTTGCGTATGTGATATCAGAGACTGAACCCAAAGAATTATGTGCACACCACTCAAAATACAGCCCCAGGTCATGTTGTTTTGTATTGTTCTAGCCAGCTTGACTTTATCTACACCCTAACATATCATTATGTATTTTACAATGTTTTGATTCTGCTTGTCTTATACTTGTCTGGCTGTCCCAGACAAGCTCAAAGACATAGCTCAGTCAGTCTTACAAATACTGGGGCCAAATCCTTCCCATACCACATGGACCAGCGCACTGCTGCTGTCTGGAACGCAACACCAATGCTTTGGTTCTACTGTTTCCCTGGAGCGGTAAACAGGAGTAGGGCAAATCTGATACTAATAATTGCTTTGGTCAGCCTGATATCACAAAACAGCTGGCACTCCAGGTCACGTAAGGGCTCAACTTCAGGCTCTATAACTTACATGCAGCTGTTATACCGCAGAACCGAGGTAGAGGAGTTTGCGGAGGAGCACATACACTTCTAACTAAAGTAGAAAGTATGAAGTCTTAAGAGAAGCTATATCTCCTGAAAAGTCTAGTTAAGACTAATGCCTGCAGATAATTAAAGGTCTAAAGTTTATATTTTAGCTTTGCTCATGTTAAAACTGTGTATAACTGTTTTCTATGTAGTGTATGGGGTTAAGGTGCACATGGGTACATACAGATGCTAGAAAACTTTGTGTATGTGTGATTGTTTTCTGCATGTATACTGCACATGGATGCATGCAGAAGCCAGAAAACTTTGTGTGACTGTTTTCTGTATGCACGTGTGTGTGTGTGTGTGTGCGCGTGCGCGTATGTGGAGGGTGGGGGGGTTAAGGAGCACATGGGTGCATGCAGAGGCCAGAGGTCAACATCAGGTATCCTCCATTGCTTTTTTACATTAGATTTTGAGACAGGAGCTCTCACTGAACCTGGAGCTCACTGATTGGCCAGACAGGCTGAGTGGTGAACACCAGGGATCCATCTGTGTCCCCTGCAAGCTGCAGCTGACTTAAGATTCACACCATCATACCTGGCCTTTATGTGGGTGCTGGGGATCCAAGCCCAGGTTCTTAATGCTTGTACAGCCAACACCTTATCAGCTGAGTATCTCCCCAGTTCAAGGGAAATGTATTCATAACCTTTATCTGAGGTCATTTCTAGGGACTAGTGAGCCAACCTAAAAACTTACCTTAAGCTGAAAGGGAACTTACTACCCCAAATCTACTGAACACTCCAGCTTATCCTGGCCCACCTCACGTGTGCTCAGAGAACTTGTGTAAGCCTACAGCCGGGCACAAGTGCAGAGCAACTGCAGCATCTAACGCTAGTCCGGGGAAAGATCAAAATTCAAGGCACAGCTCCTTCTGCGCATATTACCATTTCAAATCATCACAAAGTCAAAGGAACCTAGTCAACCCATTCTGAGTTGGAGGGACTGTCTATATTAAGTTTGCCTAGTGTTGAAAGACAGGGATAAATTTAGAGCCTTTTTAACTTTTTTGTTTTAAAAGTTTTAATGCAGGTAAGTACAAGGACTTGATATTAAATGCTAAGAAACGGCACACAGTCTAAAAAGCCAGGAAGATCTTGGTCTTCTTGCTTTGGTGGCCATGTTCAGCAACTGGGCTGACTGAAAAACCCATTCACACCAGAGTAGGTGAGATTCTGACAACTGCTAGGCTGTATTGCTAAGGGCCTGTCTACAGGCATTAAGCAACTAACCCAGATCCCCAGCAAAGAACAGGGCAGGTGATAATTTCCCAAGGTTGTAACAAGGTCTCAACTTTAATTAGTTGCAAAGTTCTGAAACTGATTAATGTCTCCTCCTCCCTCCAGGAGGGAGTCTGGTAATATCAATGTATCCACTTGACGGGCATTCCCGAGACATCTATTATTGGCAGGCACTATGTAGTGACCTGGCCAAGCAGGGTCACTGGGAGACAGGGGCTGGCCCATTCCTTCACTTCTGTCTTTGAGCACAACTCTACACTCACCTGTGCATCAATGTAAGTCAGCTCAAGTTTACCTTTCACATGAGACAGTTGGTGCACTGTGTCAAAACAATGTGATTTGGGTCTAATTTTGCTCTGATGCCCTTGGTCCATTTCACCCACCTGTAACGCTGTCTGGAAAGCAAAGGTACTTTGTGTTTAAGGGAGGGGACAGAAATAAAATAATCCAAATATGGCCAAGTAACTGGTCTTTATGTGTGCACTACTGAGAGAACTGTTTGAGTGCTAGTAACAAGATACGGAGAGGAGTGTTTTGTTCAGATACAAATCTCTTTTTAGTCCTAATTTTTACAGTAGCAGTGGTCAATATTCAATTTGAAGTGCATGACTTCTTTACCTAACAGTTACCTCTGTATGAAGGAACTGGAATGTGCCTTTGTATATTTTATATTTTAAGACAAAGGCTCACATTTTTTTTTATTTAGAAAGTGTCCAATTGTAGGTGAAGCTATAAACCACTACACTCCTGATGATGCTCATTACAATTTGACCCTAAGAGGTGAAGCCATCTGAGGCCGCACAGTCAGCCTGCAGGTTTCTGGCCGTTTGAATGAAACTCTTACCAGGCCTTCCCCTTTGCGAAGCAGAGACAAGCCTGAGGTAGTCAGTACCCGCAGCAGGATCACTCCCGTCCCTGCTGACGTCGCATGTGACTGTGCACTGAGGCTGTTAGGCTGTTAGGCATTGCCCTGCTGCCCGAATGGACCTGCGCAATTACAGCTTTGCCACAAGCAAACCCACCTGAGGTATGAGGTTTGCTAGTAAATAAAGTTAGACTCTTACTTTGTAAGAAAAATACTGCGAATGGGTGACTAGAAAACAAGGCATTTTCAGGAATTTTCTAAAGTAAGCTGACTAGTTTTCCTGTCTGATTCTTCTTGCCCTCAACAGTCTGCTAGATGACATCTGAGATGGCACAGAGTATTCTGTCCTTGACACAGCTTGACAGCACAAAGAAATCTGGCACTTGGCAATGAATTATTAATGTGCACAAATAT